TCTCGAACAGCTTAAGAGCAAAATTTTGCGAGTTTTCGCAACATCACATAGGTGTCGCAGGGGACAGCATAGGAAGCTCCAAGACCAGACAAGAGCGCATCAAGAAACAGGGAACCACCCACCACAAGACTGCTAAGGCCCTTAAGGTCTGACAGCATCTCTGGACGGTTACTTCCAGTCTGCCGGAGCAGAAAGGAATCATGAATGACTATAGACCCTAAGCCCCAAAACCTGTAGAATGGTGAGACGCATGTCATGATCTGTCGACCCGACACTGCACCGGCTGTGCCGTTGACTCAAGCTTTTATGCTCTTATTTCAGCATTGCCCGCTGCTACAATCGAGTGCTACGGTCTTGCCTCGAGGCAAACAAACCGGCCAGCAGTTGCAGTTCCAGTGGGGAATTCCCTAGATGAGTGCTGGGCGACTAAATCACGGCGTGGAGCCCGGGACATGATAGGAATTCCAGTGGAGGGTCCTGTGCTGTAGGCCTAGGGAAGGCCCCACGCACCTCATGAACACCCGCTTGGGTTCTCGTCACCCGAAGAAGGTGCTTCAGTGGATCTGTAGCTCGACAGGGCCATCTTGGCTCAAGGGCGAGCAAGTTGTAGAGGATCCACACTCACGGAGACTGCGCCAGCAACAGCGTTCAGGCGATTTTCAGGAGGCCCGATACCTGGCCTGGCGAGAGCCATCGAGAGCCACTCCAGCTCCAACTGCAATCTAGATTCAAGTGGGACTGCTTCAGACCCCGGCCGCCGTGAGCTAACGCACAGCATCAGCTATGTCACCTATGTCCCACTTCAGACGGCTTCAACGCTTTTCAAACGACCAGGGTATTCCGCAAACAACAAAATCACGTGCACGTGCAGGCTCGGCATGCATTTCGAGGACCCGTCTGCGGCAGAGGAGTCTGGACTTAACCATTGCGAGTAGCAGCCAACTGGAATCAGGGCCACAGCGCTGACTCCAGCGCTCACCGGACTTCTCAGCTGAAGTCCTTGTGAGGATACCTAGCCGGTGGCAGCCGGGCAGGTCTGGACAGTGCTGGGTCTCGGTGTTTGGGTCGTGTGTTCCGTGTGCTGAGGACGAAGGCACGACTCCAGTCAGGGTGGGCACGATGGGCAATGATGGAATACAGCGAGTAGCTGTGCAGTTACACTCCATGGTCGTGATAGCAACTCATCTGTATGGCAAGCGGAGCTGCCCGCGGGAGGCTGCCCATTATTTGTTCGTGTGCTTCCTGGGCTTGGGAGTTTCTAGGTCGAGGGTTTGAGTGTTTCAGGTGGTTTTTGGGAGGCCCAGCTTTGCCGTCAAGAAGCGGTTCGGGCGAGTGGGCATATACCTGGCCAGTGACCCAGTTCTTCACGAAGAGGGTTTGCTACCACGAGGAAGAAAGGCTGGTGACATTGCTCATGATCTGGACCGGTGTGAGTCGACTGGTCTGCGTCCCGTCGCCAAGAGAACCTTCTGCGTTGTAGCCGACGGACCACACGTTCCGTCCAACTTCAGGAACATGGTAGAACGACGATTTGTTCCAATGTCTTACACGTTGCTCATCAATTGCACTGGCGTAGTTTTGCTGTTGGTTGTGCCGTCTCCGTGCTGTCCGTTGTCATTCCACCCGACTACCCAGCAAGTTCCGTCATTCTTCCTGGTCTCACCACACAAAAAGGAATCCGCCACATGTTTATAAGACGAATCGAAGGAAGCTGCATCTAATTCTCCACGAAAACTAGGCAGCCCTGCCAAGACTCATGAACCAGGTCAGCGAGTCCCCGGCCACCACGTGGTGCACATCGGTCATGACTTGCACCGGTGACTTCCTTGTGGTGGTCGTACCATCTCCCAGCTGTCCCTTGTCCTTCTTGCCACAGCCCCAGACGGTCCCATCTCTCTTGAGGAGCATCTTGTGGGTGAAGCCAACTGTAGCTTCCTTCACATCACTCATCGCAAGGTAGGGCGTTAGTCTTGTTGTGGTTGTGCCGTCGCAAAGCTCCCCATTACTGTTTGAGCCTGTCACCCATGCAGTTCCATCTGTCTTCAGCAGGGCAGTATGCATGGCTGCGACGTCTGCCATGATCTGAACGGGCGTGTATCTGTCCGTACCTGAGCCATCACCGAGGGTTCCCTTTTCGTTATATCCGGTGCCCCATGCCGTCCCATCTTCCTTCACGAGGAAACTGGACCAGCCAGCACCCTCTGCGGTCCTCACCTCGGTCATCATCTTAAACGGGGTCCACTGGCGGCCACTGTTGGCGTGACTTCCATCACCGCGTTCTCCACGAGTGTTTTGTCCGAAGTGCCATGCGGCTCCATCTCTATCAACGATGAGGGTGTGATGGCCACCTCCGCTTACGGAGGGCGTTCGCTGAGCTGTTGAAGTGGTAGAAGTGGTGTTGGTCAGGCAAGGATTGCAGGTGTTCAGTTCAAGACTGCCATACCAAGACTCGTTTGCGTAGCTGTCCGACCACGCGGCCATGCAAGGATAGACCTGAGGAACGAGGCAGGGCTCCTCTGTAACCAACACCGGGTAGGACAGGTTCACATGGCCAGTGCTCACGATCTGTTCCTCACAAAGTTGAAGACCCTCCTCTTTCTGTGCAGGGTCCGACGCATTCAGAACGCCCAACTTGCAGAGTATGTGCGCGCCGCTGTATAGTCGGCTTTGCTTGAGCTCTCTGTAGCCTCTGCTTCGGGAGAAATCACATCAAGGTGATGCGCTGAAGCATCCCCGAAGCACCCCCTGTAGGAGTCGCAAGTCGTGTCTTGGGCCTCTGTCCAAAGACAGAAGCTCTCCTCGAACTGTGCTGCAATCCGTGGCACAGGCTCGTTTGATTGTGTTCCGCACCGAGGCTTCCAATCCAGGCCTCTAATTGGCTTCCGATGGTGTCGGCACCGGCCTGGAGCCAGGCTTGCAACTCGCTGAAGCACTCCAGCCTCGACTGCCAGGGATCTGTGGCCGCCAAACCCGCTGAGCAGGATGGAGTTCAAGCACGGCCTGGTGTGCATGGATCTCGGCGACACATCCTCCCTGCACCTAGAGCATTAGTTCAGCCATGCTTGCAAGGTCCAAGTTCGCACGACACCGGCCTCGGCCGTGGCACCTGCACCGAGCCGAGTGCAGAAGCGCTTCTCGTTGGCCTCCAGCGCCGACAGCAGGCTCTGCACTGCGTCGTCTGCACCTGCAGTGCATTGCAGTGCATCACACACACAACTGAAGCAAAAAAACGCCCACGTGCTTCCATGGCCAAGAGGCCGAGAGCGAAGTTGCGGAGGCTTCGGATATGCTCTGAGACTTGGCAAGCTGCCGGGTCCAAGGCCTTCGTCCCTTGGCCAGGACCACGCAAATGCTGTGGCTGCAGCAGGGGCACGAGGCAGAAGCTGAGGAGGCCGATCATGGCTTTTTGGACGAACCAGGTCGCAGAGATCATGCTGCAGCCAAACTTGATCCGATTCCATCGGTGCACGGTGCTGTCTGCGAGACCTCATCCGTTGTGTATGTGTGTGCGAGTGCCTGGGCCGTAGGCCAGTATGAGATACGTGTTTGTGGTACACTCGCATGCACACACGCATTCGACGAACTTGCATCTCCTTGTCCTGCATGTGTGGCTCGACAGCATGTCAAAAGCAAACCCCGCAACGCATCTTCAAGATACGCATAAAAAGGCAACTCAGGCCTTGCTAGTAGAACCCCGACAACCTCTAGACAGAGTCCAAACAACCGTGGAAAGCACTGTTTTGTTGCACCAGCGCTCAGCACGCCTCAACAGGAACACTTTGTTTCCAGATGCTTCCAGCATGTCAGCAGGGCTGACCAAACATTTAAAATCCCGCACAGGGACCGCGTGTCCGACACTTTAAACTGAATCGAAATAAAAACGATTGGCATCAGCGAGCTCGAGAACTGCAAGCTGCGAGTCGAATTGCTTGTTGCCTTGGCCCATGAGAGATGGTCCGCTGCAGCCCACGGTGCTCATCCCCCACCCTGACCCCGCTGCTCCGAGGCTTCTCAGCCGTCTGAGCATCTTGGAGGGCAGTCGTCCCGAAGGCAGTCGCCGTCTGCAGCATGATGTGGTGGCTCACACGGCCTCGACCCGGCGACCTGGGCCCGCTTGCATGGCAGGGCCAGTGGTGGAAGATGTCGGCTGCGACAACCCCACAACGTTCAGATCTTTCCTTGGCTTGTGCTTGGGCTGCGACGGGTCGCAGGCGAGATTTTCAAGGGAGGACCACAAGGTTTCTGGACTCGACGATGTTTCGAGTCGTTTTGAGAGATGCTGATGACTGTGGGGCATAGTGGGCTGGAGGGACGGGTCCGAGCCGTACCAGTTTTAGGTTTCTTACAGGGTTTAAGCATGCGTCGGAGAGAGTCGAGGAACTCACATCAAACAGAATCCGACGCGCTGAAGCAAAATGCCGGTACAGCCCCAAAAACATGATCAAACCTATCTGGTTTAGTCTCTTGACCCCCTAACCCTAAGCCCGGAGTTCCAAGACCGGAAACATCGACTGACCTCCAGAACCTTTGCCCCCGAATCCCCCAAAGCCTCCGAGGCTCAAGCGCACAACACTGCATGGATGCAGGGCCGGGGAGTTCGGGAAGTGGTGCTTCGGACAGCGCGCTCGCCGGCCCGCACTCATGGCGCCTGAGGACAGGGCTCAAGAGTCTAAGGGGTGAGTACCGCATTCATCATCTAGGGGCTCAGTAAAATTGGAACAGGATTTTGGGGAATATGGAAGCCCTACACCCTATAAACCCTAAGGATTAGATTGGGACTCCAGGAATAATGTCACAACCGCAAGAGGCACCCCGACCAGTCTGCCCGGGCTTATCCTCTGAGGAATTCCAGATACTTGATACTTGCAACTATACACTACATTATAGTATATTATATTATAGTATACTATAGTATACTATCTTATAGTATAGGAAGTATATTCTCGTATTATGCTACTCCTCGGGTTTGGGGCATACTGTACGGGTTCTGCTGGAGGACTTCACAGATGAAGAAGGTTGAGCCGAGCCGCAGACGACAGCGCCGGCAGGGTTGTAGACTTGCCAGACGTCCAGCTCCCGGCGGAGGGCAACCACCGTAGCAAAAGGAAAAGCGAAGCATCCAAATAATCCCGTATGGCAGCCTTCAGTGTCGTTCTGGGCTTTAGGGCGCGAGATGCGTGAACAGGCATCCCAAGCTCAGACATTCAAAAGAACATCTTACCTAGCCCCTCACGGAGGAAGGCTTCCACCAGGCCAGGGAAGGAGAGCCGAAGGGAGCAGACCAGCCGGACCCCAGCATCGTAGCCTTTCAGCAAGCAAGGAGGCGAGCTTTCGCCTTTAGCCCATCAGTGGCAACAAGGCTTTGGGGTTTCATACGGCAACGTAGAGTTTGGGGACTACAGTATACATAGTACTATAATCAGAATGATTCGAATGCGTCTTGGTGGCGTATCTTAACATAGAGCTATATTAGGGAACTATACGGGCATATTTACACACTCGACAGTCGCTGATCCTCGGGTATCATTGGTTCGGCCACGCAACACAGCTGCGCACACTTGAGGGCAACATCTCCATCGATGAACTCGGCCACGACCACCTGGAGAACAGTGCTTCAAACATCAAAAAGCTCTGGCGCCTGGCACCGGGAGCATGCGCATGCCCAATAGCAAGCAGAACGGCATCCCCCCTCTGAACTTGAAGAATGCACCAGAGCTATCCATGGCCTCGGGACTGTGCTCAGAGATCACCCGCTGCAGGAAAGAGGCCATGTTGTCGCACTCCTGGTGCATGTCTCACGGGAGATGCAGGTGGCAATCCGTATCTATGCATCCATCCATATTTTTGTTCCTCCTGCTAGCATTTGTCTGACTGTTTTCGTCTAACTGGCAATCTCCGAGGTCGAGTGTCTGGTTGTGTCTGCGTCCGTCTGCGCGGGTCTGCGTGCCTGCGTGTGTCTGCCTGTGTCTCTGTGTGTCTTCGTGTTTGCCTGGGTGTTTAGGTCCATGTGCGACTATGTGTGTCGTGACGGCGAGTGTCTGTCTCTGTCTGCGTCTGCGTCTGCGTCTCTGTCTGTGTCTGTGTCTGTGTCTCTATCTCTAACTCTGTCTCTGTCTCTCTGTCTGTGTGTGTGTGTGTGAGTGAGTGAGTGAGTGAGTGAGTGAGTGAGTGAGTGAGTGAGTGAGTGAGTGCGTGCGTGCGTGCGTGCGTGCGTGCGTGCGTGGGTGGGTGGG